GGGGGGGGGGGGGGGGGGGGGGGCACCTGTACCTGACAGCTGCTAATTGGATGAGTAATTAACTACTGCCGGGACGAATCGCAGGTGGAATGGCAGCGGAGAGAATCGGTGTGAAAAGCCTGGAGAGGAGGAATGGAGGCTGTCAGACGGGATTTGACAGAAAACGGACTCAGCTCTGAGCTCAGAAACGGGCGTGACTGACACCAGTTTACTCTCACACAATCTAAGATAAGCCTGGCTTTATCTCCTAAAGGTTTACATCTACTTCTGCTACAATTTATACTGCAAAATACAAAAGTATATTAGCATAGGGATCCCATAAACAGTTGCTTTATGGATAAGGTTGTTGTTTTTTTAGTTTTTTTTTTATTTGTGTTTATTGAATTTTCCATTGTGTTTATTGAATTTTTATTATGAATTTACCATAAAAGTCACATACATGTTGGGGACATGTATGTGACTTTTATGTGTATTTTTTGGGAAAATTCAATTAATTCATTTTGAGTCATATTCAAACATGGTAGTACAAAAAAACAAAATCTCCCAATCCCTCCCTCCCTCCCAATGTAGGACTACAGATTGTAGAATACATCCCATCATATACAACATATAAGATGAAATTAAATAATAATAGTAATAATAATAGTAGTAATGAGAATAATAATAACCATATCACTGCCACAATCGGTAAAAATAACAATAATATTAGTTGTCATCATTATCCTAAATAAGGTTGTTTTAAAAACATTTTCTAATTCTTTCACATCATTAGAATCTAGCCTTGTTTAAAACTAGCTGCGTTTTTGTTTAAATACTGTATTATTTTCTGGTTTCAGGCTCCTAAAACCAGGATTAGAGGTGAGACAGACCTGGACTCTGAATGTTTAACTCAGTTCTGTTTAGGACTCTTAGTTTAAGACTGTTTCCGGACTAGAACAAAGACTGAACGACTCACAAAAAGACAAGTACAAACAGGAAACAATCAAAATAAAAGTCTCTAGGATGACCCCTTTTTATTCTATATTTGTTCTATTAGTTTCTATTTATATAGTTCATTGTTATTTTTCTCTGTCTTAATCTAAAGGGTTTTGTATATTTTTTTAATTAACTAAATAAATGGAGGTTTGAATGTAAGTGTGTATGAATACATGTTACTAGCTTAGGTTTGTTATGGTAAAAAGGAGAAAAATAAAAGGCTCATGAGAGGTGAAAGGTGGAGCTTATTAATGAATGTCTTGACTACAGTTTCTATTTATATAGTTCATTGTTATTTTTCTCTGTTTTGTATAGGGTTTTGTATATTTTTATCTATTTATATACATTTTTATATTTTTATATTTTGTATAAATACATGATACTAGGTTAAGTTTTTTGTGTTAAAAAAGGGGAAATTCCATAAAATATCTTGGAGAAAATCAAAATAAAAGTCTCTAGGACAGACCATCATGATAGTGGTCATCGCCCCCTTTGGCCACAGCTCCAAACCCGTCTGGTTCTGACCCAGGGTTAAGAACTGCAAAATACAAAAATATGTTAGCAAAGGGATCCATAAACAGTTGCTTTATGGATAGGGTTGTAGTTGTTTGACCCGTGTGGTTCTGACCCAGGACACAGTTAGGTGAGAAGTCCCTGACTCTGGGGATTAGCCGGGCCTTTTTCCAGCACATGAAAGGGCCTAAAACACAGCGTTTGGTCCAAACCGGCTGTTGTGGATCCCTCACTTCCACAAAGGAGAGCCTCTCTTTGGGATTCAGCAGAGCAAATCCTCCCTTTGTCAGCTCCAGCTCAGGGCAGGAAGCCAGGACGCTCCTCCTGCAAGATTAGTCCGTTCATTCATGTGTCCACTCATTCATCCATCCATCCATCTATCTATCCATCTATCTATCTATCTATCTATCTATCTATCTATCTATCTATCTATC